ATGATTATGCTACAGAAAACGCATGAGATACAGGATGAAAGGAAAGAATAAACTGTGTTAATGTTATGCTAATAGCTCTTTCTGGTTTAGGATAAACTTTTCAGTGACAATACCATATATTTAAACAGAAGTAAAAATTGTGTGCTCTGGAAAACTGTTAGATTGACTCAGGAAGTGGCTCAACTGAGGGCAAGGACACTGAAGTTAAAGGTGCATGTGAAGAGTTTCACTACAGTGTATATATATGTGATTTTTAAACATGAATATGTGATCAAATTAATATATTAAATAATATAATCATTTGAACATTTTAACTCTATCCCTACATATTTGTGTGTACACTAGTTGTCCAAAATTATTTTAAGATCTTCTAGGTGAAAAAAATCATAGGTCACTTATAATTAGAGTTGCCTTGTATTGATACATATACATTCATTAATATGGTAGAAAATAGGACTATAATTTTACAACTAAGGAGTAAAAGGAGAAATAATTGACATTTATCAAGCACCTATGATATACCAGACCTTGCGCTATCAGCATTTACATAAATTTTTCCATTTAATTTCCACTTAGTACTGTGAGATGGGCTTATAGGGACTTGCTTATGGTAACAGACTAACTCGTATATAGCAAAGTTAAAACTCCAATCTGATCTCTCTGGCTTAGAGTCCATGCTCTTTCTACTATGATATTAGTAAGCTTCATTTTGGAAAATTTCCCTCAGTGCTCCTGAAAAGATAGCATTTATCTGTGTACCTGAGTGTGGCCACTTCGTTTGGTCAACTTCACTCTAGTTTGGTCCAGGCAGGGTACATCCCCATAGCGGTTCTTCTCTAGGTTTCCTGGAGACCTGAAGAAAATGAAACAGACAAACTAAAACAAAGACAAAGAAAAGGTGGAAGCAGCATGTATGTGTACACACAAAGTCCAGCGGTGCAAAGGTGGGTATCCATTACTGTTGGTCATGGAGCAATGGTCTAGTCTATCCATATTCCATATCATTTAACATTTTTAATATGTATGTATTCCTGTGAAAATAAAGATATTTCCATTCAAAAGAGAGAATGAGAGGGAAATAGGGATATAGCACCAAAAAAATCTGGCTGCTAAGAAACCTAAGTTCCAGTTGAACGTGGTAGGTTGACAACATATGTTTGACTCCACTCTATCTAGTAGCCTCAGTATAAAGGCACGAATCAGTACAAACCCCAAAAGTGATGGCAGAGACTTCAGCAGATAAAGAGTGAAATCCATTTTGGCAGAGAGAAAACTGATGGAGGAATTTTGGCTGACTTGGCCAAATGCAGAAAACTAGGACCCACAGAGGTATCTACAGAGAGACACAATGACTCACTCTCACCACTCCCACACCCTGGAGAGCAAGGCGAGTCACAGGGTTAAAAACAGAGGAATAAGTGAAAATCTGAATGACAGACAGTGAGAATTCCCAGCCCTCTTCTCCCTGTCCTCTCCTATCCTATACTTCTATCAAGCTTGGACCCTCCCAAGCAAGAGTGGAGAATTCCTCTATGGAGAAAGTGAATAGCCCTACATTAAAGAATTCTGTCACCTAGAGTACACCAACAAGCTAGCTGATCATTTAAATCTGAAGATCACTCACACAAACAGCATTTCCAAGCAGCTTTTAAGGACCTCCCCCCCAACGTGTAAAACTAACAGCCAAAGATCTCCAGATAATTACAGAAGGCTCCAACACAAAAAAGAGACCAAACACATGGCAGTGAAAAAGCACAAAAGAGTGTCAGTAAGAAAAAATAAGTTCTAGGGGCTCCTGGGTGGCTCAGTCGTTAAGCGTCTGCCTTCGTCTCAGGTCATGGTCCCAGGGTCCTGGGATCGAGCCCCACATCGGGCTCCCAGCTCAGCAGGAAGCCTGCTTCTCCCTCTCCCACTCCCCCTGCTTGTGTTCCCTCTTGAGCTGTGTCTCTCTCTGTCAAATAAATAAATAAAATCTTTAAAAAAAAATTTAAAAAAAGAAAAAATAAGTTCCTAAAGGCTATAATTAATACCCTCAGAGAGAAAAAGGTACTGTATCTTTGAAACAAGAATAGGATGCTATGAGAAAGGAACAGAGACGAGAAACTCTTGGAAAATAAATAGGATATCCAAAGTAAAAACTTTAATAGAAGAGATGAAAAAGAAAGTTGAAGAAATTTTCCAGAATAAAACAAAAAGTCAAAGTGATGAAAAATGTAAGAAAAATTTAAGAAAACAAGACAATCAATCATTCCAGAGCAGGAGTCAGCAACTATGGCATGGCCAACCTGTTTTTTGTAAATAAGAATTTTACTGGAACACAACCAAGCCTGTCAGTTTAGTACTATGACTTTTTTCACACTATAATGGCAGAGTTGATTACACTTGCAATAGAGATTGTAAAGGCCCACAAGCCTAAAATATTTACCATTTTGCCCTTCAAGAGAAAGTTTGTCAATCTCTGATCTAGGAGATCCAACCAGACTGACAGAAATAGTCCAAAAAGAGAGCACTGACATAATACAAGGAAAGAGAGAACGAAAAACAGCTAATGTAAAAAAAAAAAAAAAAAGTCCTACAACTAAAAACACAAGCCTTCAGAGTGCAAGAATCTATCAAGAACCCAACAAAATGAATGAAAAAAAAGGACCCACACCAAGCAAGACATATCACTGTGAAATTTTTAAATGGAAAGACAGAGATTATCTAAAAATGTCCAAAACGTCTTGAGAAGGAATAAGAATAACATCAGACTGTTTAGTTGCATTGCTACTAATTAGAAACGGATTGTTTTAAAAGTTCTGTGGTACAATTATTTCCAACCTAGAATTCTATGCTCTAACAAAACTAAGTAAAGAAAGAAGATGGGGGAACCAGGAAACAAGAGCCAATAAAGGAAAGTGGGGGCAGAAATCAGGAAGAAGTCCAGACAACACCAACCTCAGTTTAGACTGGAGCAAAACCCCAAAAACTTCTGGAAGTGAGGTCTCCAAGGGGAAAAAAAAACAATTCATTATCTGATATATTTGACCACTTGGAAAATACTAACAATAGTGTAAAATAAATTTGATTAAGCATAGGGAAAAAAATAAAGACAGGAACATGGAAAACTAAAAACAGATGAAAAAATTAGGTAACTGGGCGCCTGAGTGGCTCAGTCAGTTAAGTGTCTGCCTTCAGCTCAGGTCATGATCTCAGGGTCTTGGGATCAAGCCCCGCATCGGGCTCCCTACTTGGTGAGGAGTCTGCTTCTCTTCTCCCTCTGTACTTCCTCTCTCTCTCTCTTAAATAAATAAATAAAATCTTTAAATTTTTTTTTTTAAATTAGGTAATTAACTCCAGAAGAAACAAGAAATTGAATTGATAAAACTTAATATATTTGATTTCATAGAAGCCCATTTCTTTTTTTTTTTAAAGATTTTATTTATTTATTTGAGAGAGAGAGAGAGAGAGAGCACATGAGGGGGGAGGGTCAGAGGGAGAAGCAGACTTCCTGCTGAGCAAGGAGCCCGATATGGGACTCGATCCTGGGACTCCAGGATCATGACCTGAGCCGAAGGCAGTTGCTTAACCAACTGAGCCACCGAGGCGCCCATAGAAGCCCATTTCTGTGTTAGAAAAATTTACATAGCCATAATAATGTAAACAATGACTATTGATTTAATAAAAAAATATGACATAATTATACTGGAAAAACAGTGAAAGGTGAACTGGAGACAGGGTGTTAAGAGCCAAATGCTTACCTACCATAAAAATCAATGAAGAGTATTGTAAGTATTTTATTTAGAATCATAGAAGAAATACCAGAAGAAACAGCTATTAAGAGTTGAAAATGGATACCTAGAGGAACCAAGGATAAGGCAGGGGATTGCCATTAATTTTAGCATTCCTATTCTTCGGTACTATTTGTTTTAAAAAAAAATTGTACATATATTGATCAAGAAGCAAAAAAAATTACTAAAATATAAATATTACTCTAATATAAAATAATATTCTATTGTTCATAGTTACCAACAAATATGTAATGGAATAAGCAAAATAGTCTGGAAGGAAATGTACCATATTCATACTAGTTGCTGCTTCTGGGGAAGAGGGGAGAACTGAAGGTGAGGATTAGAAGGGATTTACAATGAATTCTTTTAATAACAAAAAAAGATGGAGCAAATATGACAAAATATTAAAAATTGTCAGTATTAATTCTGGTGACAGGAACATAGTTGTTTATCATGTTATACTCTGTACTTTTCCATATTTTAAAAAATTCCCTCTTCCTACACAAGTCCAACTGATATTTTACAAAATCCCAAGAACAATTCAATGGAGGAAGGATTTTTCAGCAAATGGTGCTGGAGCAATTGGATATCCACAGACGTGCACAAATGCATGTGCACATACACACACACAACATCAATATCAACCTAAACCTTACCTCTTAAACAAAAATTAATTCAAATGGATCACAGACTTAAATAAATAAATGTGAAACATAACACTATAAAACGTTTAGAAAAAAAGGAGAAAATCTTTGGAATCTCGGATCAGATGTTCTTAGATCTGACATCAAGAGTGTGATCCACACAAGGGAAACTTGATTAAAGGACTTTATCAGAATAAAAACTTGTGCTTCACCAGGGACCATGTTAAGAGGATGAAAAGATAAGCTACAGACTAGAAGAAAATATCCGCAAACCATGTATCCAACTAAGAACATATATCTAGAATATATTAAAAAAACCTCAAATCTCAACAGTTTAAAAAAAAGTCCAAATGGAAAATGGGAAAAAGGTATGACATTTTACAAAGAGGATATACAGATGGTAAATAAGCACATGAAAAGATGTTCAATATCATTAACTATTAGGGAAATGTAAATTACACTGACAATGGGACCTCATTACACACCTATTAGGACAACTAAAACAAAAAATGGTGGTGGCAACAGCAACTGCTGGTGAGGATGCCAAGAAACTGGATCATTCAGACATTGCTGGGGGTACGTCAAATGGTACAGCCGCTCTGGAAAACAGTTGGGCAGTTTCTCAACAAACTAAGTATCTAATTACCATATGAGCTAGCTATCACACTCTTGGACATTTATCGGAGAGCAATGCAAACTTCTGTTCATACAAAACCTAGACACAAACATTCATAGCAGCTTTACTTTTTTTTTACTTTACTTTTTTTTACTTTACTTTTTTTTACTTTAAGTGCCAGAAACTCTAAATTGGGTGAATCTCCAAGGAATTATACTGAGGTTGAAAAAAGCCAATCCCAAAAGGTTACTTATGGTATGATTCCATTTACGTAAGAACATTCTTGAAATGAAAAACTATAGTAACAGAGACCAGATTAGTGGTCTAATCTAATCAGAATCTAGTCAGAACAAAGTTAGGAATCCCCAAGTCAAGCATGCATCCTCTTAGAGCAGCCCAGTACTCCTCTCTGTTCCATAATACTTCCTTGATTCAAAAGTACAGGGGGAGGGGCGCCTGGGTGGCTCAGTCATTAAGCGTCTGCCTTTGGCTCAGGTCATGACCCCGGAGTTCTAGGATCGAGCCCCGAGCCCCACATCAGGCTCCTTGCTCCTCGGGAAGCCTGCTTCTCCCTCTCCCACTCCCCCTGCTTGTGTTCCCTCTCTTGCTGTCTCTCTCTCTCTCTCAAAAAATAAATAAAATCTTAAAAAAAAAAAAAGTACAGGGGGGAAAACTGGTTGGGAGAAAGACTGGATGCATATAGAGGTTGTGAACTGGTAAGAAAGAAACAGCTGTGTGGGAGAAAAGGACACTCTCTCCACTTTGATATATGCTCTGCTTTTTTTTTTTTTCTCTTTGCTTTGCATTCTTGCTCTGCCTATTGACTTTCTTCTCAAGGGTTTCTTCTCTCTTACCGGTTTCCTAACTCATTCTTTTCCCTCTTTTCTTTTGCTAAGTCTCTCTCCCTGCATCTTCTTTACAGTACACTGACTAAGCTGGACAGGAATTACAAGGGGGAAGACGTATTCACAGAATCATGGACACCTAAAACATTTAAGCTACACAAGCAGGTGGATATCCGAGTCTAACATCATTTATTACACACAGGAAAACTGGGGTGCAGGCAAGGCAAATAACCTGCATAAATCACAGAGGAGATTTTGGGCTGTGCTGGAACTTGAGCCTGGGACAGTTTCTCTAGTTTTCAACAGAGAGACAAAAATTTCTACTGCAGCCAATGAAAACAGGATAAAATGAGAGCAGTTAAGAAAAATGATCTATGCCCTATGGCCAACAATAGTTACAAAGTAATTATGAACCAGTTATAAACTAGCCAGGTAGTTCTGTAGTAAGATTTGGATAGAAAGAAAATCCTACAAGGCCAAATTCCTAAGAGTTAACTGTTTTCTCTTACTGACTGTGGATTATTTTAAATGCACCAGCACCCCTCCTAAGAAAGTAATGTTATACTATAAGCGCTCTAGGGAGAAACTGCCCAAATGAAAGGTCCAGAGATCACACTGAAGACAGGAATAGAGAGTCTACATTTTTTAACCTACTTTTTTGAACCTACATTTTGAACCTATTTTCTTCCCCAAAACATTTGCATTCAGGAAAATCTTTTATGCATCCATTATTACATGGTTCCCCTGTTGGTACTAAAGACCTTCAGAAATTCAGAATACAGGATATTGGCAATAGGCACCAAAGCAGGAGGTGCCTCTTTCTGGATGAGAAAACCATCATCTGAGTGAGACTGATGCTCCTTAACACAAGGAAGAGCCTCTGTTAAGGAAATGAGATGTGGATGGAGCTGTTGCCAGCATGCACCAGAAGCATGTTGGTAACCCACTGTCGGCCCAAACTCTTCCTACTTACATAGAACAGTGGAAAGTGCCAACAGGGTTCTCACGGCGGATGTCTTCATACTCCTCATATATCCCCCGCTTTTGCCTGGTGCTAACATAGTCCATCAACTCTTGGATGGTCATGGCGTGGGGGCCTGGAACATGTACTGAGTCCCAGTCTAAGGCAGGAGGGAGGGAGAACAGGATGATCTCATCGAAGGGGTCTGGGTGGCCGTTCATCTGGGGTAGGAACTGGAAATTCCAAGTCGCGAGGTCAATTTTGACGTACCCACCCAGGTTTTCTGGAAGGCACTCCCTGGGCAGGTGCTGGGTGACCTCAGATGTCTTTAATATCTGAATCTGGAAAGCCAGAAAGAACCATGTGAGTATGGACAGGAAATAAAGACAGTGAAGATAAAGAACAAATGTGTTTATATTAGGTTTGAAGAATGGGATGAGATTTGCTTGAAATACTTGGTATACTTGTAAAAGGAGTAGACTGCATTTCATCTGCCTGGGATTAAAGTCCTATAATTTCCCCAAAGGTCTGACTTCCTAGAATGTATATCAAATTCACTCCTAGAATTTGCCCCTGCCTTTTTAAAGATTTTATTTTCAAGTAATCTCTACACCTAACATGGGGCTCAAACTCACGTCCCTGAGATGAAGAGTCATGCACTCCACTGACCGAGCCAGTTAGTGCCCTGGGAGCCTTGTTATATACCTCAAAAGGAAGGTACAGTTAACAAAGCCTTTATACTATTTTTTTTTTAAGACTTTTTTTTATTATTTATTTGACAGAGAGACACACAGCGAGAGAGGGAACACAAGCAGGGGGAGTGGGAGAGGGAGAAGCAGGCTTCCCGCTGAGCAGAGAGCCCGATGCCGGGCTTGATCCCAGGACCCTGGGATCATGACCTGAGCCAAAAGCAGACGCCCAACGACTGAGCCACCCAGGTGCCCCAAAAGCCTTTATACTATTAACAACGCTTCCCAGTGACATCTCATGCAGGTATTTGCCGTTTTGATTATTAAGAATGCACAGGTAGTGATTTTTTTTGGTCAACTCCATACAAAGGTAACCAACTCTAAGCTTGGTGCTTTACTCACAGCTCAGTATGGATGTTCTCAAAGGTAGCTTTCTAGGAAAATAACACTAGACCAGTCACCCAATACAGGGTAGCCCAGAAAAACTGCCAGAAAAGTAATCCTAATTCTGCTCTCTGCTTAGACACAGCCTTACTGGACGAAACTGGCCTAGTTAGTTTTTCATGAAATCTGTGTGAAATGGGAATGTTTGTCACTCTTGCTGTTGTCCCTTCTTGGAATGCCCTCTTTTCCTCCTCGGCCTCTTCATGGACAAGCTTATAAAGCTCACTTCTTCTGTGAAGCCCTCCCGGACTGCTCGATACAATATTCTCCTTTGTGCTCCTGTAGGGCCACAGTTCTCTGTACATGTCTACCTCTGTGTTCCCTATCAGGAACATGAGCTCTGTAAGTAAGGAAAATCTCACTCCATTTTTAATTCCCAGGGCCCAGAGCCTGGACTATAAAGGTGCTCATATATTTTGAGTTTATACATACATTAATACTTATATATAACAAGTGCAAGAATTTGCCTAAGGAGTCCTATCAAAGAGTACCTTGGAAAAGATTTCTTCTACTCTCAGTCACTAGATCCCTAAGTACTTCCACAGAGCCAAACGTCTTCAGTTTCCCCTCTCCAACACAAGTCTCCCCAGCTATAAAGATCTGCATTGTTGTTGATATAACCTCGTAATTCTATACTACAAAAAATCTCTAGTAATATTTCACAACAACTATAATTAGATTGTGTCAATGTTTCATGTGCCCTTTCTTTCAAGGGTGAGAAATGAATGAATGAATAAAACCATAATCTTTTAGTTCTAGAACACTCAGGAGATAATAACAGAATTACGATAATTTTAGACACTTTTGAAGTTAGGAAGCAGCAGGGTGTTTTAAGAGAAAATGCCAGGAATGGAAGTAGACATATAAAGAAATATAGTGAGAGATTCTCCTCCACCACGCTGGTGGTCAAAGGACAGATTAGTATTTATACTTGACAAATTCAAACACCAGTTCAACTAATGCAAGTGTATTAGAGATTGTTAAATATGCATGAAGAGCACAAGGCTAATTTTTGGAAGGAGTAGCTATCCCAAGTTATCCATGGGACACACTCCTTCAGTGCTATCTCTATGCAAGGTGCTATGGAGGGAGAGTGCCAGACAAACTATGTCTAGCTCCTAACTTCAAAGAACTTGTAGTACAGTGAGAAAGGAAGCCTGTACTGACCTGAGTAAAGAATATAGCAGAGAATATAAGTGGATACACTAACAGAAGCAGAATGCACTTTAGAAGACAGGCTGGAAGAATTTTATTGAAGGTAAAAAATTAATTGGCAGGTTTCAACAGTAGAAATGGGAAGTTCACCACCTTCTTCAAATAACCACCTCCACCTACAAATAAAATAAAGCATGCCTTACCCTCTCCCGGACTTTGTCCTTCAGGAGGAGGCTGATGATGGAATAGGGCACTCGGAACCATATTGGTGCTCCCACAATCAGTACTTTTTTCAAACGAGCAGGAAATGCTCCCTGTGGAGAACACACATGAAAATTTAAAGATATCAATTAAGGCACTGGAATCGATGACTGTTCAAACCCAGAGTGTAGGTTTTCTGCTCTTTTCCCCATCCTTACCCAGCAGGGGGAGTCTAAAGCCTAATTCAGGTTTCATTTCAGTAATTACAGAAGTGGTTAAAAATTTTAAAATTATACACCTGAAACTAATATAACACTGTATGTTAACTATATTAGAATTAAAATTAAAAGCTTAATAAAAAAATTAAAAGGTGATTTACTTTTTTTAAAAAAATTGACAGAGAGATAAAGAACACAAGCAGGGGGAGCAGCAGGCTGAGGGAGAAGGAATCAGAGGGAGAAGCAGATTCCCCGCTGAGCAGAGCCTGACACGGGGCTGGAACCCAGGACACTGGGATCATGACCTGAGCAAAAGGTAGATGCTTAACCAACTGAGCCACCCAGGCACCCCAATAGGTGATTTACTTTTAAAAGTTCCAATGTTATGTTCTTGTCAACATAAGCTTTATGGATCAAAAATTGATACTGACTCTTGTCAGCATATATGTGTGCGCCTTTAAGTTCTGCTTATTAAAACTTTAAGAAAGGGGCGCCTGGCTTGTCAGTCCATGGAGCACTGCAAACTCTTGATCTGGAGTTGGTGAGTTCAAGCTCCATGTTGGGTGTAGGGATTACTTAAAAGTAAATAAAATCTTGGGGCACCTCTGTGGTGCAGTTGGTTAAGTGTCCAACTCTTGGTTTTGGCTCATGTTGGGATCTCAGGGTTGTGAGATCCAGCCTGGTGTCAGGCTCTGCTCTCAGAGCAGAGTCTGCTTAAGACCCTCTCTCCCTCTCCCAGGTGCTACCCCCTGTACTCTCTCTCTCTCTCAAATAAATAAATAAGGGACGCCTGGGTGGCTCAGTCATTAAGCGTCTGCCTTTGGCTCAGGTCATGATCCCAGGGTCCTGGGATTGAGTCCCACATCGGGCTCCTTGCTTGTTGAGGAGCCTGCTTCTCCCTCTCCCTCTGCTGCTCCCCCTGCTTGTGCTCTGTCTCTGACAAATAGGTAAAAATCTTTAAAATCAATCAATCAATCAATCTTTAAAACAATAAAATAAAATCTTTTAAAAATTTTAGGAAAAATTAGATCATGAATAAACAGAACATGAAAGAAACATCTCTCATAACCTTTTCTGACATCTGTGTATTTATAATCATTTTTTTTTACCCATCTCTTCATCTAGTTATGTATTCATTTATTCAGTCAATAAATATAATCTAGTGGGCACAAGGGCAAACAAAATCTAAAGGGAAGGAGACACCCTGATCTGCACGAAGCATAAAAATAAAAAATTATTCATTCCTAATTCATAGCTCTAGGTTTCATTTAGTTTAATATCCCAGCCCTTCTCACGGGCAGGGATACCAAGTAACTGGGAAGAAATTATTCCCAAGGAATCAAAAAACAAAACAAAACAAAAAACAAAAAAGAGGAAATTGTAGTTAAATATCTTCTTACCACTTTCTTCCTATTCTCTTTCCCAAAAGACTGATTCTCAATTTGACATGTCACTTTTTGGCTACTTTTCCACTGCTTTTGGGGGTCCACAAACATTCCCAATAGAGAATATACAGTATCTAGAACAAAATGCTCCATACTCCTCTTCACTGAAGTCTGAGATACAACAATTTAGGGGCGCCTGGATGGCTCAGTTGGTTAAGCACCTCTTGGTTTCAGCTCAGGTCATGATCTCAGGGTCGTGAGTTGGAGCCCCGAATTGGACTCTGTGCTCCACACAGAGTCATGCAGAGTCGGCTTGAGATCCTCTCTCCCTCTCTCTGCCCGCCCCGCCCCCCACCTGCATGAGTGTGCTCACATGCACTCTCTCTCTCTAAAATAAATAAATAAATAAACTCTTTAAACAACAACAATTTATTTCAGGACCTAAATAGCCAAGGCCCCTGCCAAGTCACAAAGCAGTCTGGAAAAATACCTATATTTCCACAAAATGATAATTAAAAAGCAGAAGCCATTATATCTACTTCTTCAGAGCAAAGAACTACACACTCAGGCCTGTTCCATTTAAATGACTGTATAGCATCCACATATACTGTTGATGGGACAGTAAATAGTTACATCTTCTAGAAGGCATCTAGCATTATACATCCTTAAAAATGTGCATATTTGGGGTGCCTGGGTGGCTCAATCGTTAAGTGGCTGCCTTCGGCTCAGGTCATGATCCCAGGGTCCTAGGATCGAGCCCCATATTGGGCTCCCTGCTCAGTGGGAAGCCTGCTTCTCCCTCTCTTACTCCCCCTGCTTGTGTTCCCTCTCTCGCTGTCTCTCTATCAAATAAATGAATGAAATCTTTAAAAAAATAATGTGCATATCCTCTGATCAAGTAATTCCATTTCTGAGACTCTATCCTAAGGAAATAACCAGAAACACAAAGATTTATGAACAGAAATGTTTATTGCACCTTTATTTTTGATAGTTAAAAATAGTACTTTAAAACTGGAAAGAGTATATATGTCTGAAAATGGGTAGGGGTTAACAAAAATGGTATTATCCTATAATAAGATTATATAACCTTTAAAATGAAGACTTCAAAGATTTTTTTGCAACTATGGAAAATGCTCACAATATAATCTTAAACTAAACAGGATTAAAACTATAACCTTAATTTTGTTTTAAAAATGACACACACATTTATACTTACACAGAGAAAAAAGATTATAAGAACTATATCAAAAGTTCAATAGTTTATCTCTGAAAAGATTATGAGTTGTTTTAATTTTATTCTTTTATTGTATTTTCTATAATACTTTGTATTACTTTTATTTTTTTTTACAACCTTATTTAAAATGTTTATATCCTGGGGCACCTGGGTGGCTCAGTTGATTAAGCGTCGCCTTCTGCTCAAGTCATGATCCCAGGGTCCTGGGATCAAGCCCCATGTCGGGCTCCCTGCTCGGGGGGAGCCTGCTTCTCTCTCTCTCGGCTGCTTGTGCTCTCTCTCTCGCTATCTCTCTCTCTCTCTCTCAAATAAGTAAATAAAATCTTTAAAAAAAAAAGATATGAATATAAAAGTGCTTGTTGAAAAAACTTTATTATAAAAAATGGGAAAAATATCCAACAACATAGAACTGGTTAAATAAATTATGGTAAATACAGGATAGACTATTATTCAGCAATTATAAGTATTCATGAAATAAACTTTTTGGAGCTTATTGTATATTGAAATTGTATGAACATAATTAAGATCATACTGAAAAACATCTAGAAGAAAGTGCCATACACCAAAATGTCAACAGTGTTTATTTCTGCATAATATAAATCTTAATGTCTGAGTTGTCCAAAATTTTCTACAATGAAAATTTTTTTGATTCTAACAGTATTTTTTCTGATTCTAACAGTATTTTAAGTATAAAAGATAAATTTTGAAAAAAATTAGCCACCTTATAAATAATAATCAGCATAAAATTATAATGGTAAAAACATCTGATTTCTAATAACTCTTAGGCACACATACACTATTTCTATCCCTCTCTTTTTCTCCCTGTAAGTTACTGGTCTTACAAAAAAGATAATTTATTCTTGGTGTCTGCTGTGTTCTTAAATACATGAATATATTTTTTTAGCCTAGGAATAAACTACATAAGACACATGTAACACAGATAAAATAATTTTAAAACTTTGTTGAAAGACCTAACAAGGAGCACCTGGGTGGCTTTAGTAGGTTGAGTGTCAGACTCTTGGTTTTAGCTCAGGTCATGATCTCAGGGCCATAGGCTCTAAGCTCAGCAGGAAGTCTGCCAGGGATTCTCTCTCTCCCTCTCTCTCTGCCCCTTCCCACCCCCCCCAAATAAATTTTTAAAATCTTAAGAAAAAAAAGACATAACAAAAGACTTTTTAAAAAGTATAGCATTCTTTTTTAAAATTAATTAATTAACTTGAGAGAGAGAACACAAGCTCGAGGGGCAGAGGGACCCGGAGAGACAATCTCAAGCAGGCTCTGCATTGAGCATGGAGCCCTAAGTGGGCCCCATCTCAAGATGTGAGCTGAAACCAAGAGTCTGACGCTTAACTGTGCCATCCTCGCACCCCAAAAAGTATAGCTATTCTTGGATGGGAGATAATAAATTATACAGATGTCAATTCTCCCTAAATTAATTAATTCATTATAGCCAAATAAAATCCAGAGTCTTTCATTTCCCCAAACTTGACTGAATGACTCTGAAGTTCATCTAATCAAAAGATGATGATTTTTTAAAAAAATTTTCTCAGAGGCGCCTGGGTGGCTCAGTCGTTATGCGTCTGCCTTCGGCTCAGGTCATGATCCCAGGATCCTGGGATTGAGCCGCTCAGCCCCTCCCCAGCTCATTCTCCCTCTCTTTCAAATAAATAAATCTTTAAAAAGAATTTTTTTTCTCATCAAATTTAGATCTAAAATTTGGAAAAAGTGGTTACCCTCTGTGCAATGGCACCGGGGTGTCTGAGAGAGGGGGTCAGAGACATTTCCTTGAATTGCTTTTATAATAATAAAAAAAAAAGAACGAGGGGGTGTCTGGCTGGCTCAGTCAGTAGAGCATGCAGTTTTTTTTTTGTTTTTTTGTTTTAAAGTAATCACTACACTCTACATGGGACTCAAACTCACAACCCTAAGATATGGAGTCACACTCCCCACCTACTGAGCCAGGCAGGCACCCATGAGCATGTGACTCTTGATCTCAGGGTTGTGAGTTCAAGTCCCATGTTGGGTGTAGAGATTACTTAAAAATAAAATAAGGGGAGCCTGGGTAGCTCAGTGGGCTAAGCATCTGCCTTCAACTCAGGTTATGATCCCAGGGTCTTGGGATCCAGCCCCGCAAAGCACTCCCTGTTCAGTGGGGAGTCTGCTTCTCTCTCTCCCTTTGCCTCTCACCCCACCTTGTGCTCTCTCTCGCTTGCTCTCTCTCAAATAAAATCTTAAAAACAAATTTAAATAAAAGCAAACAAAAGTACATGTAAAAAGAATAAAAATGCAAAAAATATAGTCAAAACACCTTTTAGAAATAAGAGTGTGACAGGAAGCTTGACCTATGAGATATTAAACTTTATTTAAGACTATAATAAATAAAACAGTGCGTATGTTGGTCTAGGTGGCTAGATCAATAGAAGAGTGTGTCAGAATAGACATGCCTACCATGGGAATTTAGTGTAATACAAAGGTATTATCTCAAATGAGTAGAAAAAACTGTTTTAGTTAGTAAATGTTGCCTGGATAGCTATTTGAAAGCAAATTATTTTATCTATAATATTATGTATATGATATATATTATTAAATAAAGTATATATAGTATATGAAAATTACAATGAAAAAATAAAGAAAACAGGGCAGTATGAGAAAAGACACTATAAAATTGAGTAAGAAACTTTAAAAAATGCTGGTAACACATACTTAATAATATATTTTTTTTACTTAATAATATTTTTAATAACTCTTACAAATTAATAAGAGATAAACACTTTTGTAAAAAATTGGGTAAAGTATATGAGAGGGGCCTGGGTGGCTCAGTAGGTTGAGCAACTGACTCTTGGTTTTGGCTCAGGTCATGATCTCAGGGTGGTACCCCAGGCTCTGCACTTAGTGGGGAGTCTAAGATTCTGTCTCTCCCTCTACCTCTGCCCTTCCCCCCACTTGCGTGTGCTCGCTCTCGTGCACCCTCTTCTCTTTCTAAAATAAATAAATATTTTTTAAAAATTGAGTAAAGTATATGAAAAAATATTTAAATAGCTCTTGGCAATAAACATGAAAATACACTGAAGCTCATCAGTAATAAGAGAAACACCACAAAAACATGAATATAATTAAAATCCAAACAACAAATCAATGTTGATAAAACTGGTGAAAAAGGATGTTGATGGGAGTGTAAATCTGAGCTAAGTTTTTAGAGGGCTATTTGGCAATATTTATCAAAATTTAAATGTGTGAACTCTTTGACCCTACAAATCTGCTTATAGCAATTTATCCTGAGGAAATGATTGGTCAAATAGACAAAAATGTATGTAAAACAATACTCACTGAAGCCTTTATAATAACACAAAAAAATGGCATGAACTTCATTTTTTCTGCTTGATATATCCATAAAAAGAATACTCTGCTGCCATTAAAAAAAGTGAGGAAAGGGGTGCCTGACCCACTCAGTTGCTAGAGCATGCAGCCCTTGATCTCAGGGTTGTGAATTCAAGCTCCAGGCGGGGTGCAGAGCTTACTTTAAAAAAAAAAAAAAAAGTGAGAAAAGAAATGAGTAATAGCTATATGTACTGACATAGAAGGATGACGAAGACATAACTGTTAAGTAAAAAATGGCAAGTTATAACCATTGGATATAGTATTACTCCATATTTGTAAAGAAAAAAAAATCATGTATCATCCTCGTCAATAAAAAGAACTGAATCAGGGGCGCCTGGGTGGCTCAGTTGGTTAAGCGACTGCCTTCGGCTCAGGTCATGATCCTGGAGTCCCTGGATGGAGTCCCACATCGGGCTCCCTGCTCGGCAGGGAGTCTGCTTCTCCCTCTGACCCTTCCTCCTCTCATGTGCTCTCTCTCTCATTCTCTCTCTCTCAAATAAATAAATAAAATCTTAAAAAAAAAAAAAAAAAAGAACTGAATCACAGCTAAATGCCATAACAGGGGTTTTAGTAATATGATGATGAGTGACCAATGGAAGTACCAGAAAACAACATGCAATAATAATACCCTCTTTATATACTCTGTTATAAAGCTATAACAGCACTTCTAAAAAATCTACTTCCACAGTAATCCCAAGTTAGATCCTAGAACAAAGGCTACATAGACTCCTAGATCAATGATTTTCAAACTGCAAGTTGTCACTCAATGGGTCCTCAAATTAATTTAATAACTCACAACTAACTTTTTAAAAATATGAAATAGAATAATTAAAGTGACTGCACATAGTAAGGGGTAAAGCTTGTTTTGTGACTTTTTTGTTCTGTGTATAAATATGTACACAAAGATCTATACACCCTCCTCATCCTGGGACTCTGAAATCTAAACAGCTCTGAAAACCTTAAGTTTCTTTTGAAGTCTAGTGCAAGAATTCATGGAGCAACAAAATCTGACCTGAAATGCTATAATAAAGGCTATTTATAGCCTTTATTATAGCCATTATGAATAATACATTTCATTGCAAAAATATTAATGTGTTTGATTATAAAGTGGCACATATACCATATTATCTTTTAAAGTTCGAAAGATTACAAAATACCTCTGGACTTACGAGTTTAGGATAAGAGAGTGAGAACTTACCTATATACAGAACTCCACACATATGTGTATAGGTTAGTGTACATATACTTCTGTGTATGACGTCAACATGGAAAACCTATTTCTGACTAGATGGAGACAAAAAGTCTGAAAGTCATTGGCTATGTGACATTTTTCAGACACTGGACATACCTAGGCCTTCATTCTTATTCTACACAACTCCAGGAAAGGGGCAATGCTCCTTTATGACTCAGAACGTTCCTGTGCATTTTCTTTTATAATTCCTCCCACTTTAAAGACCATTTGGTATTCCGAGGAAGCACATATTAGTCATCATTTACAGGTGACCTTTACACTGAACGCAATGTCTGAAGTTCACATCATTCCTAAGTCTCCCAAAGAAAAGAAAAAAGTATTCCAACCAGTGAAGAATTGAGGGGTCCTCTCACAGCCTTACCTTCAGCAGGTTTAGGACTTTCTTGCCAAGATCCAGTTCAAAGTTGGTATAATTAGAACCACACATGTCATAGATAAACACCAGTCCGTTCCTCTGAGTTTCAAAGCTGTAAACCAACGATTGAACAAAAACATTTATAAGTAATAAGATAGATGAGGGTTGAAAGCCTAGGGCAAAAAACTGAGTTATGGGACACATATGGGACCAAAATATAACTGGTCTTACAAAAAGATGATTTATCTTTGGTATCTGCTATACTTATGATATTATGATTTTATAATAAAAAATATATATTTGGTTGCTGGCACAGAGCTCCTTTAAAAACTCTTGGAATTTCGTAAGTGAAGAGTTAAAGGTATCTTTTGTGATGTTAATGAGACAACTGGAATGGCCTTGGGTCACATAAGGATGGGGGTGGTTGCCAGGGGAACCAACCTTGTGATTACAGAGGGTTGGTACTTTCATCCCACACCCTCCCCCCCCACCTCCAGGGAAGAGAAAGGGATGAGTGATTGAGTTCAATCTCAAATGGCCAATGATTTAATCAGTCATGCTCATGTAATGAAGCCTCCATAAAAACCTAAAAGGATTAGGGTTTGGAGCTTCCAGATGGAGGTACTGAGAAGAGCGGCCCTCTCAGAGAGGGCATGGAAGCTCTAAGCCCCTTTCACCATACCTTTCCCTATGCATCCCTTCCATCTAGCTATTTTGAGTTATGTCCTTTTATAATAAATTGGTAACCTAGTAAGTAAAATGTTTCTCTGAGTTCTGTGAGCCACTCTAGTAAATTCACTGAACCCAAGAAGGGGGTTGTTGGAAACTTCAATCTATATAGCCTGTTGATAAAAAGCTTAGGTGACAACCTGAACTTGCCACCAGCATCTGTGTGTGGGAGTTGGGGTTGGGGGACTAGTCTTATAGGATTGAAAACTTTTAACCTGTGGGATCTGATCTATCAGGCAGACTGTCAGAATTGAGTTGAATTGTAAAACACTGAGTTGGTGTCAGAGAACTGCTTGAATGGCAGAAAATCCCCACATGTTGGAACTGGAATTATGCTTACTGATGTATATTTATCAAGTGCCAAACTCCTAGGTTGAGAATGTCCCAGAACATCTAGGTTATCAAAATTTGAACTGTTTCCTCCCAGGTTTCTGAATCTGCCTATCCAAATTTCATAACATTCCATGTTCAATTCAAAAGTTTCCTCTTCTGTGAAGACCTCCCTGATAACCGTGATCAAAATGTACTGCTGTCCTTCACCCCCTTGTAGCCCCATAAATCTTCCTGTAGGATTTTCTTGTGGTTCTTAAAGCATTTCAAGTTTATTTTTTTATTTAAGATTTTATTTATTTATTTGACAGCGAGAGAGGGAATACAAGCAGGGGGATGGGAGAGGGAGAAGCAGGCTTCCCACCGAGCAGGGAGCCCAATGTGGAACTCGATCCCAGGACCCTGGGATCAACACCTGAGCTGAAGGCAGATGCTTAATGACTAAGCCACCCAGGGGCCCCTGTTGTTGTTGTTTTAAAGATTTTATTTATTTTTTTGAGAAAGAGACAGAGAAAGCACAAGCAGAGGGAGGGGCAGAGGGAGGAGAAGCGGACTCCACACTGAGCAGGAGCCCATGCCTGGGGGCTCGATCCCAGGACCCTGAGATCATGATAGAGCCAAGTCAGATGTTTAACCAATTGAGCCACCCAGGTGCCCCAAAGCACTTTAACTTTGTATAGCCATCTGATTCTCTCCTGGGAGCAAAAACATGTTTTGTTCACCTCATTACTCCCAACAGTCCCAAGCACAGTCCTTGGCAAATAGGTACATGATAAATGGTCACTGAATTAGAATTCAGTGGGACTGGAAGCCTACTGCTAAGAAAATACTTCAGACCTGTGGGAAACTGTGAAACAAAACTCTAAGCTCAATGATGGTGAATGAAACTCTTAGGACTTGGAGGAAGAGAACAAACCCATACATAGTCTTAGGAAAGCATCTTGAAAATAAGAGCTTATTACCACACTGAGGTTAAGAACATGTGAGGAGGGGCACCTGGGTGGCTCAGTCAGCTCAGCACCTGACTCTTGATTTCAGCTCAGGTCATATCTCAGGGTCATGAGATTGAGCCTTGTGTTGAGCTCCCTGCTGGGTATGGAGCTTGCTTAAGATTCTCTCTCCCTCTCCCTCTGCCCCTCTCTGGCTGCATGCACTTGGGCTCTCTCTAAAAACAACAACAACAAAACAAAAAACATGTGAAGATATGAAAAGTATTCCTCAGTTCAATCTCCTTACTGCCTAAAGACTTCTCAAAGTTGTATTCTTCCACCAAGCCAGATCCTTACCTATTTCAATCTGCATGCCTAAAAGATCATTAGGAATAAATTTTTTGTTTGATTACTCATAGATGATAGCAACAGCTTTCCTACCTACTTAAAATTAAGAAAATTTCTAGGCACAAAAGAATCCTGAAATCAGAGATCTCAATGTTATTTTGTATCCTAAATTTTTGGCATGGTGGAAGTACCCACCCATGAAGTAGCATTTCAAAAATCTCAGTTCAAAAATCTCTAATTCTGAGGTACACCCAAGTGCACCCAAGTTTTACCAGCAGTTTCTGAGTTTCAAATGGTCTCGACAGGTTACAGTTAATACTAAATCTTGACTCCTTTTTTCATGATTCCAGAGAGACTATGATTCACCAAGATCAAAGATGGCGTTACAAGAGTAGCACAATTACTGAGTAGACTATCCAGGTCTAGAGACTTCCCATTTCTCCACAAGCTCATCAACGGCCAAATTCAAAGAACTATAGGTTTTCCCCTCACGGCACCAGCCTGTGGCAGAGGACTGAAACAAAGAGAAGTCAGTGCCAGGGGAAACATAATTTAATAAAAAGAAGCTATGGTTCATAATGATGCAGGTTCTATATTCCTAAAAATTGTTCATCCTATAAAGGCACATGAAATAAATATAAATGTGGTAGGATCTTTGTTTTTCTGTGTACAGAATATGAGGTTTACAATGACAGCTAATTCCTTACTAAGAATAAATGTTTTCCTACTGAGTTTGATTCCTGAGCTGGATGCTCCCTGAGAACACCAAGATGTTTAAAACACAGTCCCTGGGCGCCTGGGTGGCTCAGTTGGTTAAGCGACTGCCTTCGGCTCAGGTCATGATCCTGGAGTCCTGGGATCGAGTCCCGCATCGGGCTCCCTGCTCAGCAGGGAGTCTGCTTCTCCCTCTGACCCTCTTCCCTCTCATGCTCTCTATCTCTCATTCTCTCTCTCTCAAATAAATAAATAAAATCTTAAAAAAAAAAAAAAAATAAAACACAGTCCCTGACATTTGTTTCAAAATAATTGAGGGTAGGGGGTGGGTGAGAGGCTATCAGTGAAACAAGATTGGTTATAGATCACTCTGAAAACAGATGATGTGTGGAAGTTTATGATACCATTTCCATGCCACCCAAAGAGATCTGAGGATTTTCTATTATATAATGTGAAAAAGAAGGTTCCCTGCCCTCATAGAGCTTACAATCTAGTGGTAAATACAGAAAACAACAGTATAAGATAAATAGCATCATAAGGCTGTATAAAGTTCAATACAAAATAATTGGTATTATTAATAACTGCTGTTGGGGCACCTGGGTGGTTCAGTCAGTTAAACATCTGCCTTTGGCTCAGGTCATGATCTCAGGGTCCTGAGATGGAGCCCTGTGTCAGGCTCCCTGCTCAGTGGGGAGTTTGCCTCTCCTTCTCCCTCTCTTCCTCCCCACCCTACTCCTGCTCTCAGTGAAAGTTAACATAGTAAAACAAGAATTTCTACATACTAGTGAGAATATTTTGCTTGGAGAAAAGGTTTCACATTTATTTATCTTAAATGCACCTTCTGAATAATGAGGAGTCACTAAGCGTTTTTAAGAAAAGGGTGGACATAATGAACACAGTTTTAAGTATGTTTACCTGTGTGGTCTTCTGTGGGATCCAATCAATACAAGCAAGCTTTGGCCACTGCCATGCCTATAGGAATGCTCTGACTGTAAGCTGCCCACAACGGAAGGTCAGTGAATTTTCTGACAAAGAGTCTTTCATTTATTTCTCCTGAGCTAAAGCATTTCAAAGGAACCTATATTCTGGAAATAATGCCTGAAGACCAATCACAGGAAAGAAGAACTGAGAAATTTCACACTTCTGATTGGGCAGTACAGGGGCCCTGAGACCACTGGTCCTCTCTCCTTACCTTAGTAAACTTCTCTTTTTCAGAATAATGCTATGTGTGGCTTGGATATATCTCCCTATTGAGCATCAAAAGCAGAAGCTAAATACTATGGAAATAACATTAACAAGGCAGTAACAAGTGAATTAGAGAAACCCACTTCAGACAATCATTTGGCTATCCACATCCTCTAAGTCCATGGTATGACTGAAGTTGTGCATAGATGTCTTTCACTATCTTAGGTTTTAGCCCTTGATACATCACTTCTAAGCCAGAGGATTAACCGATAACATCCAGCACAGTATTAAACTGTAAATTTTCACGAGGGAAAAATTCACCAAGGTTAAGGAAGTACGGCAAGAGGACAACATAATAGGGTACAAATAGCTCTGGCCAAGAGCAAAGAAACTAGGATCCTAGGATCCTAGGCCTAACTGGACTGGTATGTGATGACTGTAAAAGAGTCACGTAACTTCTTGGGGCTTCGGTTTCTTTGCCTAAAATAGTCATAATACCATTAACCTTGGAAACAGAAGGAGAAATGACCTAAGCGGATTCTTTTTGCTCATGCACCTGTTTATAAAGATGATTTTGCCTAACTTTGTACTTTTGGACTCTTCTCTCCTGAATGCTGATTCTCAAAATCCTGAGCTAAATGACATTATTCTTATTTTACAAAGAAAGTGAGGCCCCAGAGTGCTTTGAAAATCAATATTCAGGGCAAATGAGCAAAAGGTCAGCACAAGTCATTTCCCCTTCATATTCTCTCAATAAGTGATTCTCAATACAATGAGGATAATTAGTTAATTGGTTTCTCAGCTTCTGTGACCCTAAAATAGAGCCTAGCAGGTAAAGATACAAAGAATACCCTCTATCTTGATAGTACCTGGAAACCTGCCAAGCCCTTAAAGACATGGAATGTTTTCTATTCACAGCACTTCCCAGGGCACATTCTAGGAGCATGGTGAAGGCACTGCTGAGTTAATCAACTTAGTCAAGGGCTATCACTTCCCCATCTGGATGTAGACCAACTAAAAGATAATCTTTATGCTCACCTATCCACAGCTCTGTCTAGCAAGTAAAACAGAGCCTGAAGTACCACATGTTGGACTGACTTGTGGGGGTGATGCAATCTGGCAGTGAAGAGGGCAATGGAGGCTCCTGTTGGGTCCCGAACATTCTAGAAGCAAATAAAACAAGAAATATTTAGAAATTAAATAGAAAATCACAACAATCACTTGGGTTTCTATATCCTAGACAAAAATTTCATATGAAGAGAAGAGATGCTGGCAATACTTTTCTGACTTGCATCAGTTGCTCCAGGAAGAGAAGAATGTTTAGTTCATCCCATGCCTGATTCTTAGCAGCCCCTGGATCATATTTGTGTGGTAGGGAAAAACTACATTCCCTTAACTTGTCAATGGCAGAGAGATTAAAGGATGGTCTACACTGGGTGCCTAGCTAATTTCCCAGATAGGATGGCAAAAGAAACACACATCAGGGGAAAACCACAGAATACAACCATGGTTTCCATGCTCTGCCTTAAAAGTACTATTGTATACTTATTCAAAAGGCTGTGATCTCTAGGTGGAGAGAGCTTGAATCCAATAAGAATGGGCCTCTGAGCCACTGTATACCAACCCAAAGACCTTGACTAACCTTAATAGACCAGTGAAGAAACTCTGCTTGATCTACGGTATAACTGATTCTTAATAATTTCACTTGTTACTAGAATTATTTTGCGTAAACTACACAGCTGCTTCATGTCTGCTCCGGAATGTTGAGACTCTCTAGATTCAGGATAAGGTATCTAGGAACAAAATCCAAAGAAGACAACAGCTACAAAAGGAAGTAACGAGACACTACAAGAAGGGTTCATAAAGACTCACTAAGATGGTGAATTTCCCACTAAGGATCTCAGAACGGAGAGGTTCCTCATGAGGTTTCAGCTTCACAATGCCTTCCTTCCTTCGTGTTTCCTAAGAATAAAACACAGCAGGATAAATTAATATGAAAATATTGTATATCCAGGACAGCTTTACGTAACCATCAAATCTCAGAGATAAGGGACTTCAGAAGTCAACGAACTGAATCACGAATTCCTTTGTAACATCCTACAGGCCAACTGAGTGTTGTCTGAATTTTCATCCAATGCTACCTTATCAGCCTCTTACGTATGATACTTTCCTTTTATCAGTGAGAATCCTAACCCTGAAGATTAACTAATACGTATTGTTAGAGTGCAGGGTCAAAGTTCTTAAGCATACATCAGCAGTGATATTGCAGCAAGATATTAAATATGCACCAAAAAAATGTCTGGAAGCAGACATCCTCACGCATCCGAGGCTGAGGCCTCCCGCGTCTTAAAAAGGAGCCATCCGTCCCCTCGATATGTTTTCCAACAAGACCTACCATGACCTCATTTTTCTTATCTCCACAGCAAGATTCTCTAAGCTCACCCTCAGTTGCCTCATACTCGGTCCACTGCATTCTCATTCCCCCCAGTCTAACTACCGCACTGGGAACTGCCGCTCCCATGCCAGGACCTTCCTTCCTGTCAGTGAACCCAGGGGGCATTTTCAGCTCTCCTTTTATATGACAAGGTTGACCACTCACCTTCCCTTTCCCCTGAGACATTCTCTATCAGAGACAGAGAATACTCTCTCTGTTTTCTTATTTCTTCAACTACTGCTTCTAAGTCTCCTTTTTTTGGTTGTTTTTTTTTTTAGAGAGAGAGTGAGGAGGGGAGGGGCAAGGGGAGAGGGAGAGTGACACGGGGCTAGATCTCACGACCCTGAGATCATGACCTGAGTTGGACACTTAACCCACTGAGCCACCTAGGTGGCCCTTGTGGGGTTTTTTTTTTATTTGCATTCATTTGCTCACTCAATTAATTCACTGGCTCATTCATTTATTCTGCAAATATTTGTAGAGCAATTATTATATGCCAGGCACTGAGCTAAGTGCTAGGAACACATTGGTGAATGAAACACACTAGGTCTTTGTTTATATTCTTGCCCAATTCATCCTTAAAATAAAATTCAAATGCCTTCAGAGGCAGGGCAGCAAGTGAAGACAGTATTTGTGCTAGGATTACAGGAGACTGCATGCCCTACCTAAAGCATTCAAATTCAACTCTTAAGACAATACTGAACCAAAGATAGCAAAAAGTCTGAGGTGATAATTCAGCCCTACATATCTTCTTCTCATATTCTCCTGGAATGACCTCACTCTTTCTCATGGCTCCAATATTCAGCTCTACTTTGGTCACTTGAAATCTCTATATCTGGTCCAGATTTCTTTTCTGAACATCATTCCAACTTCTTAGAGAACATATCTATTTGGATATCCCAATGGCACTTCAGACTTAACACGACCAAACTGAACTCATGACCTATTTCAGTGTTTCCTAAAATTAGTGAATGCTACTACCATTTACCCTGCCACCCAAGACAGACCTGGAACTCTTGACTCTTCTTTCCTTACACACCAGTTTAAGCAACGCTGTTTTACCAATTTCACTTCTAGAATCTGCCCATTTTTTCTCTATCTCCCCTGACACTACACTTAATGACACCACAGTCTTCTCTCTCTTTAAGTACAATGGCCTTCTAATTGGTCTGTCTCCAGTAGAACCCTTCTGATCCATTCTTTTTTTTTTTTAAAGATTTTATTTATTGTACTTCTGAAACAAATAATGCAATATATGTTAAGAAAAAAAAAGAAGAAGAAGATAGCAGGAGGGGAAGAATGAAGGGGAGTAAGTCGGAGGGGGAGACGAACCATTAGACACGATGGACTCTGAAAAACAAACTGAGGGTTCTAGAGGGGAGGGGGGTGGGGGGATGGGTTAGCCTGGTGATGGGTATTAAAGAGGGCACATTCTGCGTGGAGCACTGGGTGTTATGCACAAACAATGAATCATGGAACACTACATCAAAAACTAATGATGTAATGTATGGTGATTAACATAACAATAAAAAATTATTTTAAAAAAAGATTTTATTTATTTATTTGAGAGAGAGCACATGAGAGGGGGGAGGGTCAGAGGGAGAAGCAGACTCCCCGCTGAGCAGGGAGCCCGATGCGGGACTCAATCCTAGGACTCCAGGATCATGACCTAAGCCGAAGGCAGTCGCCTAACCAACTGAGCCACCCAGGCGCCCCTGATCCATTCTCTAAAGCACAGTGAGAAAATCGTTCCAGAATGCAAATCTCATCAAGTTATTCTGCTGTTTTTACCTTCAGTGAATTTCTCTGCCCTTAAGAAAAAAATACTCTATGATCTGGCCTTGTTTACTTTTGCTGCTCACTCTCTTGACATGCCGCCACTCCCAATGAGCATTTCTGCTCAGCTCAATTTCTCTATTGTCACTAGGAATCTGAACTTGCTATTCTCTCTGCCATACTCCCCTATCTGTCCAATTCCTACTCCATTCTTCAGATCTTAATTTAGAAATCATTTCCTTCAAGAAGGCTTCCTTGACCCTTCTAAGTAAATGTGCTTCCGTAGAACCAAGTAGTGCCCTATCATAACTTTCTATAATTGTGTGTCTACTTTCTCTTTCTAAATAGTAATCTCTGCACCTGGAACATAGTACATATGCAATAAACATCTGTTGAAAAGATGAGTGAATATTGTAGAAGATGACCCACAAGATAGGCATAAGTGAGCTTTTTAGTCTTGCACTAATCCTGGCACGCCTTGTCCTCCTTTTTTAATTTAGAGAGATTCTACATGTCTTCAGAAGGATTTTCTGACTTCAAGGTAGGGCTCCTAGATACTGACCTGCTTTTTTTTAATGAGAGTGGGGAGAACACTCAGAGAACCACTTCGTGTAGTGTGTGGCACAGAAAACAGCAACATAGAGAGCCCAACTGCCACAGATCCGCACCACCCCCCGCCAAGCTACATACTCTGTAGGAGTGGAACAACTCTATGGCACGGAGCACATCAAACTTCCGGGCCATGAGGAACTTGACAGCCACATTCCAAGAGAGGGGGGAAACATTGTACTGAACTGTCCACTTGTTAATCTCTTCAAGAAACTGCTTGGTGGCCTGTTTGACAAAGAAAATAAAGAAAATTTAGTTAGTAGAGAACATATTTATGGAAACAACAAACAAGCAAGAAAAAAATATCATCCTCTCCTCAAGCAAGTCTGAACCCAGAGTTTCCTACAGGGAGCAGGGAAAGACAAAAGCTGGAAAACAGGTCTGAAAGCAGAAATAGTTAAAATTTATACTACGCAATGAGGCCAGAAGCCAGAGCTAGGTTCAGAGAGCAGGGCTTAGCACAGGGATGCATGAAGAAAAACTGAGGGGGGAGACCAAGGCACCAACATGGGATGCAAATTACTGACCCCAAAGCTAAAAAACAGCAGTCTGGGTTTTTTTGTTATTTTTTAAGATAAAAGAAGGTGGATGGGCCCCTTGAAGGGTTATTGCATAATGTGCATCATGGTACAGCAGTCTAAGCTGCTGTTTTGGTCCCAGCAAGCCAACTGGATATACAGCAAAACCATCAGAAAATGGTTTTGGCTTTGGAATTAGCAATACTATTTGAGAGCAGCAAAGCTATTAAGAAGAATTTAACAAATCAAAAGGCCAACTGTTCTTTGCCTGACTGACCCCACAGGACCTCTTCATGCTTCACATGGCATCCCAAAAACCAGACACTAGTGCCCAGAGTCATTAACAGCCCCTCTGGATAGTGGTTGCTGGGAGAGGGGTGCAAAGCCTCATATTGGGGGAGGAGGAGTAGGAAATTTTCATTTTCACTGTCTGATCCCAAGCTGGCAAGATGCCTGTTTCCAGAATTGTTCCTAACCCATGTCCTTCTATCCTCTTTCAACCTATTTCTCCTTACATTTATAACCCGGTTTCTGCTCTAGCCAAACTACTCTTCTGTTTCTTGAGTTTTTGAATAGGATTTACATCAGGATTTTTTTTTAAGACTTTTTATTTTTTTTTAAGTAATCTCTACACCCAATGTGGGGCTCAAACTCACAACCCCGAGACCAAGAGTCACAAGCTCCACCAACTGAGCCAGCCAAGCACCCCTACATTGGGATTTTTTGCATGCATGTTCTCAATTGCTAAACACTTTCTGCATGGCTATCTGGTCCCTTCCACCCAGAAACTTTTCTCACATGTTGGTCCAAAATGTGACCAACTCGACGAGAATTCTGAAATTTAATTGATCATCCAATCAACCCACAGTTAAGATGCATTTATTCATTTAAAGATTTTATTTTTTTATTTGACAGAGTACGCGAGCATAAGCGGGGGAGTGGCAGGCTCCCTGCTAAGCAGGGAGCCCAATGCGATGCAGGGGCTTGATTCCAGGACCCCAGGATCATGACCTGAGCCTAAGGCAGATATTTAACTGGGTGAGCCACCCAGGCACCCCATTACGATGTATTGATTTTTTTTTAGGATTTTATTTACTTGACAGAGAGAGAGAGACAACAAGCAGGGGGTGCGGCAAGCAGAGAGAGGGAGAAGCGGGCTCCTGCTGAGCAAGGAACCCAATGCAGGGCTTGATCCCAGGACTCTAGGATCATGACCTGGGCCGAAGGCAGCCACTTAACTGGCTGAGCCACCCAGGCGCCCCAATTAAGATGTATTTATTAAACTATTACATATTTATTAACTACTTGTTAATATCTGTGCTAAGAAATACAAGGAATGCAAAATAAGGTTTGCTCTAAAAGGTGTAATACTAACCTACTATGTGGCCATGGACAAGGTAATATTCTCTTCATCTCTAATTTTTCAGTTGAAAAACAAGGGGAGGGGCACCTGGGTGGCTTACTTGGTTAAGCATCTGCCTTCAGCTCAGGTCATGATCTCAGGGTCCTGGGATCGAGCCCCAAGACAGGCTCTCTGCTCAGGGGGAGTGTGTTTCTCCCTCTCCCTTTGCCACTCCCCCACCACTCATGCTCTCTCTCTCTCTCAAATGAATAAATAAAATCTTAAGAAAGAAAGAAAGAATAAAGAAAAAAGACAAGGGGAGAAAGAGTAACAAGCAATTGACTTCAGAATCTTGGCAATAAGTCCTACCTTGCAAATACAATTCAAATTGTTACATAGTATTTTTAAAAAATTTTTTTTTAAGATTTTATTTATTTGACAGAGAGAGACAGCGAGAGAGGGAACACAGCAGGGGGAGTGTGAGAGGGAGAAGCAGGCTTCCTGCTGAGCAGGGAGCACGATGGGGGGGGGGGTGCGCTCAGGGCTCAATCCCAGGACTCTGGGATCATGACCCAAGCCCCAAGCCCAAGGCAGATGCTTTAACGACTGAGCCACTCAGGTGCCCCACTACATAGGATTTAAACAACTAGCAAATTAGAGTCCCAGGAAAGTCAGCAATACTTCATAAGAGAGCACCTGATTCATTGCCCAATTTCTAGGAAAAAGACACTTTGTAAATCAGAGTAAAATCTAAGAGGACAAAGGCTGCACCCGAGCTTTAGAACCTTTCAACAGAGGCAATATAACTTACACCACTGGAAAAGGAGAGAACCAGCAAAACTTATCAGGAAAAGTGCATAAAAAGAGCCAAGAAATAAAGGCCATGAAGAAAAGCTTTCAGATGATCACTTTGGCCCAGAACCAGTTTAAGTGGGACCAGAGAAATGAGTCCCGGAGAAGACAACAGGACAAACTTAGAATGCTCCACCAGAAAACAGTTTGAGTTGCCTCTGTGGGGTGAGTGGCCAGCATCAGAATGAGGAAAGATGGAAGGGAAAAAAAGAGAAGTGGGCATAGAAAGATCCCAGAAACAAAACCTCAGCCAGCCTGGAAGGTCCCCAGGAGATTTTGTAAAGGGTTGTTTTTTAATTAACATACCATCTTTAAATCCAGCCCTCTCCTGGGCTTGGCTGAAGCTGCCTATAGAATAAAACACCAGCATAATAATAAACAGACAAATCAATATGCAGGTAGGAGGGGGAAATATAGTTAAATAGCTAGGGGGTGATATGAACTCCTAACACATCCAATTACTAAGACGGTTTTTCATTTTTCATAAATAAGCCACGTCTCAATAAGAGACATGCAGGTTTCACACACTTCATACTGTCTTCCTTCTTATTAAACTCAGTTCCTTCAAAGTTCTTAATGTCCTGTAGCTCCCAAGAGCTACTGCCTTGAGCTGACCTCTGTCCCCTGCTGGTCAGGATGTTATTCTTGGCTTTAAGCACGGGAACAATTCCTCCTGATTTGGCCTGACCAGGCCTTGCATGAACAGAGTCCAGTGTACTGTAAACAGTGATGTGATATTTACAGATACAAATACACATACACACACACCATCTGTTATGTTCAGCCTCAGATTCACCATCCTGCATCCCTATCCCTCTTGTGGAAGAGACAAACCTCTTAAAAAAGTCAGAAAAGATGGCCTCAGCTTCAACAGTTTTTCTCTAGAAAGTTAATTAAGTTATCTTCCTCTGTTTACACATGAAGTCAGCACAACCACTAAGTATAGACCAATTTGTGGTCCTATTGGTACCAGAGAAATAAGTCCCAGCAATTTTAATGAACAACACACTCTTCATAAGGGATAATCAAAATTCCTGAAATTAATATTGTGTTATTTCCTGGTGAACAGAAGAATGAGCCAAAAGATGAGTCACGGCTTATAAAATACTTCAACTCAAGGTCAATGGTTTGAATCTATCTAGGTTTATGAGTTAACTGTAAGTTGTTAACACCTGGCAACTAAGGCATGGGTCACAGTTCAAACAACTTTGGTCTTCCTTTGGGAAAAAGGTCTGAACTGAAGTACAGAAAAACTAACATTACCACTTATAACCTTCCTCAATCCACTTTTTAGGTACAGGTAAGATTGGTTTAATCATGTTTAAATAGATAAAAACAAGTTTCTGGACTACAGCCATGAGGATAAAGATACTAGGGAACCTGCTATAAGATGGCTGAGATATCTGTCAATTAACGGATTACACCCTAGACACTATCCACTGCTGTTAAATATGTTACTGGAGAGAATAAAATCAAAAGTCTTCATGTTACCTCAAATTCTCAAGAGCAGCTATGATTTTGAGACGAGCTTTAGGCAAAGGGCTAGCCAACCAAAAGATCAAGAAAAAAGATGCTGGCATGCTCAGTTCCACAGTATCTTAAATCCTGTGTTCCAACACAAATGGGAGAGAATGAAGAGCCAGACCTATAACAAACCTAATTTGAAAGAAACAGAAAACTTCTGCCTCCTGGTATATCAGCCACTGAACCACGAAAGAACAAATCTACTAGTCTAGTGGGTTTGGGAGTCAGAAAGAACCCATCCTCTCACTCTCTGCTGTGTGATATTTGGGCAAGTCATTTAACCTCTCTCAGCCTCAATGCCCTCTGCAAAGATAAGGCATGAATGAGACAACGGATAGAAAAGCACCACAGTATCTGGCAAGTAGTAGGAAGTCTCTGAATGGATGTTCATTCTTTTTCTTTACTGCAGTCATTTCACATTAAAACTTATTTCAATAATTAGAGTTCCTCAGAATCAAGTGATCTGTTTCTCTTTAGCCTTTAGCAATTCAATCTCTCTAATCCACTTTACCCAAAAGCATAAATTTAAATTAGAAACCTCCAAAATGTGTTCAACTGCAAGACAAAAGTCTCTAAAGGAGCAACTTCTCATTCAGGGCTCTGCACAATACAGAAGAAACTGGGTTGGGAAGTATTTATACCACCCCCCCTCCGATCTCTAAATCCTTTTGTCCCTACTTTCAGACTACACTGGCAGCTCTGGGGATTAACACTGCCATCCCGAGCATTAAACTGACTAGAGAATATTTCTCATTAAAATAAAGGAACAACTTTGTACAGGACACACACCATGCAAAAAAATGCAGTTACCCGGCACTGAATACCTAAATAAGGAAACTGATTCAATAGAAGACTGCAACTGCCTGTTACCTCTAATATGTTTTTGATGTTACCTCTGTATTTCATCAAATATGCTTTTTCATCAGTTTCAGTGACAGACGCATTAGTAAACTTTCTATTATACCTGTTTTCCTATCTTTCCTTCATTG